ATATAACCAGCATCAACCAATACCTTCTCCCTCTTAGCCAACTCAATGTCTTCATCAACCATCATCTTCACCAATTGCGCAAATCCAACTCTGGGTTTCCACCCAAGAACCTTCCTTGCCTTGCTTGAATCGCCTTTCAAGTTATCCACCTCGGCAGGCCTGAAATACCTCTTGTCAATCACCACGTGATCTTTCCAGTTCAACCCAACATACCCAAATGCCACGTCCAGAAACTCCTCCACCGTATGCGACTCCTCAGTCGCCACCACGTAATCGTCCGGCTTCTCTTGTTGCAGCATCATCCACATAGCTTCCACGTAATCCCCAGCAAAACCCCAATCCCTCGAAGCTTGAAGATTCCCCAAAAACAACTTGTTTTGTAACCCAATCTTGATCCTCCCGACAGCCGGAGTAATCTTTCGGGTCACGAAATTCTCTCCCCTCCTCGGGGACTCGTGATTGAAAAGAATCCCATTGCATGCGAAAATCCCGTAGGCTTCCCTGTAGTTCACGGTGTACCAATGCGCAGCACATTTGGAAGCCGCGTATGGAGATCTGGGGTGAAACGGGGTGTTTTCAGATTGCGGTGGAGGGGTGGATCCGAACATTTCGGACGATCCAGCTTGGTAATACTTGATATGATCCCGACCCGTGGCACTGATATGGGATCTAACGGCTTCCAACAACCGGAGAGCTCCGGTAGCTACCACGTCAGCCGTGTAATCGGGGATCTCAAAAGAGACGGCTACGTGAGATTGAGCCGCCAGATTGTAAACCTCGTCGGGTCGGATAATGTCGAGCCAACGGCGAAGCGAGGAAGCGTCGGAGAGGTCAGCGTAATGGAGCTTCATGCGAGCCTTGTGGGCGTAGTGTGGATCAATGTAGATGTGGTTGATACGGAGCGTATTGAAGTTGGAGGAGCGGCGGATCAAGCCATGGACTTCGTAGCCTTTGTTGAGGAGGAATTCGGTCAGGTAGGAACCGTCTTGACCGGTTATGCCGGTGATCAACGCGATCTTCCGGTCAGGAGTCGCGTTTCCATTGACAGTGTGAGATCCGGATTCGGATCCAGATCCGACCTTGCAACTGTCATTTTCGGTTGCCATTTTCAATTTTGACGGCCGGTGGGGTTTTTCAATTTGGAGATGTAAAAGAAAATTGGAGGAACCGCTCTGGGTCCGGTTAAGCTATCGGCTGTTTATAGGAGTTTAGGGAGGGGGACAACCAAGGATTCAATGGTCAAAGAAGAAGATAATACTACGTATATATTTTGTGAACTTACAGTTTTGTCCTTGAGAAATTTAATGTGCGGTGCAATTTGATTGGTTGGGCTTGTTGAAATGTCTTCTTGTTATTGGTTACTAAGTGAGTGGGACTTTTTGTTAGTCCAACATTTTTCGTTTCATGGACCTTCGAACTCGCATTACCCATTATGGAGGTCATGTTTGTATATAAATATATTAGAGTGTGGCCAATAATAAATACACTAGTGGAACCCCAGTTCTTTAGGGAATTTAATTTATTTTATATAATAAAAATTGATTAATATACTTTTATTATGAAAATTAAACATTTATATTTTCAAATTATATCTTTCTCGTAAATAAAATTATTACTTAATATGATATATGGTTCGCTATTTATATTGAGAATATCTAATCACAATGACGCGGAATCTTGGAGGTAAAATATAAATAATAATAAAAATAGAATATGTAAAATCAAAATAAATCAAAATTTGAAACTTTAAATAGATATTTATTTATATATATTTTTTAATAATAAAAAATTTGGGGTGCAATGCCCCTGGAACTATATATTGTTCCGTTCGTGCCTAATCATTCATTCAAATAGTCATCTTTACGTGATAGTTGTGTCTCTTAATATCACATTATATTTTACTTGTTGCATGTCTTTTGAATCTCTTTCTAAGATTGATCTTATATCAAGGCCTTTAACTAATTCCCTTTGTCGTTAAAATCACGATAACTTTGAATTTAAGGATATCTCTCAAGAAGTTGTAATCCGACATGACCTCTAACAAATATCATATGATTTGTCAAAGCTAAAATCTATCAATCAAGTCTATCAACTTATTAATAGCCATGATACATATATGTTTGATACCCACACTAATAGTCACAATAAAACTTCTTATGAGAAAGAAGTCTAACCACTCTTCACATATTACTCTGGCAAAAGTATATTTTTTGTCCCTATAGTATATTTAATTTATCACTTTTTTCTCTATCGTATTTTTGCATCAATTTAGCTCTCGAAGTTGTTCTATTGCATTATTTTATAACCCTACCTCTAACTTAAAACCTCAAATTATATTCTCTAAACCCTAAACCATAATCATCTTACCTCTAAACACAAACTTGGCTTTTATAATTTAGGGTTTTAAGTTGGGAGCATGACATAAAATGATGCAATTAAACAACTTTAAAGGTTAAATTGATGCAAAAATACAATATGGACGGAAATAATATATTTGATCTACTATAAGGACAAAGATGATCCTTTAAGTCTATTACTCTTCACCTATTCCTCATGAAAACAAAAGATATTGATATCGACCAATCATCGTACAACCATTGGATGCGGCTCTTTGCTCAAGCTAGAAGGGATAATCCACCAACGTTGATATAATATATTTTTCCATAAACAATATGTGCGGTGAGCGTGAGCCACCTTATAAGCATAAAAGAATCATTTAAAATACACCCTAAAGACAAAATAAAAAAATACTCCATCAAACTTAACCTTTTCCTAGACCTAAATCTAAAGATGTAAATATAACTCCTGCTAAGGAGTAATCATACCCCTGTTTTTACTTATCCTAAAACAAAACGCATCTACTAATATTTAGACTAATACAATGTACCAACACATGTTTCGACACTTGAATGAATAAACCCTCACGCTCTTTGTAACCATCCTTTATTTATTCTCAACATGCGTCGATGTTACTGGATACAATGTCTCATTAATATCAAACTAGGTATATGGAAAATCAATCTAGCTAGATACAAACAAGTAAGAGTGGTAGTAGGTGCCCTAGCATTCATGAGCTTCAAAGCAAATGGGTTTTATATCATCTCCACTAACATATGCCATGCTTTTGCTTCGTAACTTCACACTTTTTCCAACCTTTGGTACATTGAAAAAGAGAGGTCGTCACATACTTATTTAAGACTTTACTACCTTTTAGGCTCTCATGCAAGCAAGGAGTGTCTCTTCAAGCTCATAATTATCCTGTATTACCACTTTTCTCTATTAAGCTTAACCACCATCACCTTAACACTAAACGTTGGTCTTACCTTCTTTTCTTTTCAATTTTTAATGTTTTAACTTAGACGAATTTATTGTGATAAAGTTGTTCTGAGATTAACTACACTCTCTTTAATCTCTAAAGAAGCACTTATTATCATAAATTATTTAAAGTCCTTGGATGTGTTTGAACGAAAAAGTATAATTACATCTTAATTCTCTATGTCATATTTGATATAAATTATAATTAGACAATTATATAAGATGGTTTTTTTAAAACAATATTAAATTATAAAACGGAAGATTGTAATTATTTATATAATTACATCATTTTTTTCATTTCAATTAAAATGGAAAAAATGTAATCAAATATCTTTATTTATATTTAATAAGATTCACAAATTTCACGAACCAAGCAACCTTAAGGTCTTGGATTCAAGCACTTACGATTAAAAAATATTTGAGCATTAATTGTCAAATGGTTGTGAGTCTTTAGAAAGTTATTACCACTTGTAATCATCATAAATTATTAAAAAAAATGAGATTCACAAATTATAATAATTATATCCTAATATAAGTATATGATAAATTTCCAAACTAATAATAATAACATTCCATAAATATTCCAATTTCAAAGTTCAATTAAAACTAGAATTAGGAAAATACATATCCAATATCCCTTGCAGATTAGGGGTGTTCAGGTCCAATCTGATAAAAAAAATAACCTAAAACCGATCTAAAAAATCGATAATCGAAAAAAACTGAAACCGATTTAGTGTGTTTGGTTTTTTTTAAAATCGATCGGTTTGGTTTCTGTTTGAAAATCCATAACTGATCTAAACCGAACCGAACCGATAGTCTCTTACAATGAATGGCTATCTCCTTGTGTAGAACGGTACCGTTTCAAGTTCAATAAAAAAAGTAAAACCCTTTTCTTGGCTCGCGCTCACTATTGGCCAAAAATTGAAACCCTAGCCCACTTTCGTTCGTTCCCAATTTACTCCGCCTCTTTTCATCCTCCTCAAACACAACCTCTCACTCACAACCCAAACAACTCATCTATGTCCAAAGATGACAAATTTTGGTTCCATTTACAAACTGCTGTTGAACTATTAATGTGAGCAAACTTCACAAACTTGCATTTATTAAAATATATATTCTCTTTGCTTTTGTTATACATATGATGTTTCTTATATGAAAAAAATTCAAGAATTATTTTAAAAAATTAGAATCCAAAAACCGAATAAATATAAATTGAATCAAATCGCACTTAATTAGATCGGATTAGATCAGATTTTTTTAGAAACTTCTAAACTGATCCAAATCACAAATATTTATACTTTTTAATTGGATGAATTTTTAACTAAAAATCGATCCAAACCGATCTCGAATAACCCTACTGCAAATGTTGTCGCTCACTATGAGCGGGATTTAGCTTACATAATTTTGACCGACTAGGTTTCGTATTTATTAATTTAATTAATATATATTATATTTATATGAGCTGTCACCCTCTTCTCGCGTAAAAAAAAGCACGATAAAAAGGGATTTTCTCTATGGATTTCACGTCTCTTCTGCAGATGATTTTCGATTAGTCGCGTCTCTCAAACTTTCTAAGCTCTCAGAAAAAAAGAAAGCTTGTGTCAAATTATTTTTCAAGGTTTCCAGTGATTGCTGTTGGATCTTTAAAGGGTTTTCGAATCGGATTAAGTTCTTAATCTGATTGGTTGTTTCTTTTTCTTTTCTTTTTTAAATTCTTCTTCTTCCGCGATTAAAGAATCTTTAGGGTAGTGGTAATTTTTCAAAGCGGTAAAGGTATCGATATTGATTTGAGATTTTTTGAAAAATATGAAGCGATCGCGGAAAACGAACAGAGTTTCTTGGGCTCCAGCTGTTAATCTTTGTCAGGTATAGCCGCCATTATCATATCTTCCATCAATCCTTACTGGTTTCATTTCCTTTTTTAACATATCTTTAAAAAGAAAAGGAAAAAGCTAATTCGATATTTGAATCTTGATAATATTTTTCCTTTATTTTTTATTTACCTTTCGATTTATAAAAATTTCAATCGGACTTATATTGATCGTAACTGGAATATTATTTAAAGATTGTTGCCTTTAACAATCTGATTAAGAATAATGTAGATTCTGGAAATACTGATTCAATATTCCAAAGATGCAATCAATTATCAGTTTGTTTAAAAAATAATATTGAGTTAAAATTGTCTCTTTAAACGAGAATGATGTATTAAGGAGGGAGGAAAGAGAGGAATCATCAACGGATCTGAGGAAAATTATTTTGATAAGAATTTGTTAAGTGGAGTAAGGATTTCAAAACAAATCTGGGTTTTACCCTAAAAATCATTTGAGAATCTCCAGAAAAAAAATAATTTAATCTCCTCAAATATTTGTAATAATAATATATATATCAATAAAGCTATGATTTAATTATCAAGAAAATCTTGAATCGTAAGATTATATGCCTATTCTTTTGCCCTTTAATTAAGTGCTACGGGAACCTATTTGCCCCATAAGCTTAACTTTATTCTTACAGTATGATACTCCTGAAATGCGTGATTTTATTTTAAGAAATAAAATATACTCATGTATTAAAAGAAATGCATAATAGTGATAGAAAACCTTCTTGACAGTGTAAAAATGGAACTTTTATCTCATATGCTGACTTGCTAAAAAGGTTGTTGTTAAGCACGCATTATTTCATCATCCGATAATTTTTTTGTATCCCTTTCTTATTTGGGTATCAAAATCTTAAAGATAAACAACTTTATCGTACAAAATACATGGTACAAAATGAAGTTGGAAAGATAAAGTTGGTGATTTGCTTCTCAACAAGTTGCCTAGCAATAGTTTTGACCAATGATTATGATGTATCTGATGAGGCGGCATTGTTAAAGTTTTTGCATAACATTATACTTGAATGTGATTATGATATGGTATATGATGGATGCAATCTGTCTTCAGAAGTTTTCTAACCTGAAAATTTCGAGTTTTGAGCTTGTATTTACCTGGGGACTGTTAATCCCTACTGTTATGTTGCTTTCAGTTGAGGTCTGATTTATTGTTAGAATGTCTAGAATATCTAAGTCTGCTGTGTACCTGAAATTCATGCCATGAAGTTCATCTAAGATCACAAACAGATGATTTAGTAATTATTAACCTACCAAAGTGGACTAATTCTGGGTACGTCTCAGGTGAAGCTGTTTTTGAAAGAGGATTGCCCCTCGAAGGTTGGTGGTGAACATCGACACACTCTTCAAGCAAAACCATCATGGGCATTGCATCCAAGTGGCATGTGTGCTAATGATGACCTTTCCCCTGGGTTTGAAGGTGGTCATTATGCAGGTGGATTTAAGTGCAATCTAGCTAAGATACCCATCATCCAATGGAAAACCCCACCTAAGGTAAGCAGCAGATATTTCTGTTCTGTTTTATCGACTTCAAAACACCTTTTTTTCTCATCTAGTATTGGTACCCTAGTGTAGAGAAAGACTTATCCTTTAATATTATCTTCTGTATGAATTTAGTCTTGAAATTGATCTTCTTGCTTTCTGTCACATTTAAACAGTTTGCCCTGAATTTTAACTGGCAAGTTGTAGCCGGTGAAGAGAGCAAGGAAGTGGAGGCTCAAAAACTGCGGGAAAAGAGAGTGCTTGAAGCAGTTTATCCTCGCCTCTCCGTCGTTCCTCCCAAGTATGCTTCATCCTTGTGCACACTTTTAATAATTCCCTTTTGTGTTTATATGACTGAATTCCAACCATACCATCTTTGCAGTCCTCTTGTTTTTCGGGATGTGGAAGTCGAACACTATGATGATAGCCGAATCCCTCTTGTTCCTCTAAATCCAATTGAAGATGATGAGGGAGCAGATGTATCTTCTGGTATTGCTGCTCAAACAAAAACTCCCTTTAAATTTGAGACACCAGCATTGCTAATGCCCCCAGGTCGGTCATACTCTGAAACTCCTGCACATTGCCATAGTTCAGCTGCCGAGGGACTGATACCCGGTGCAAGTTCTGATGTGATGGCAGCTGCTTTGACTGCCTTAACTACAGTCATGAAAAGCAAAGAACAAGGAAGTATGGTCGACACCGATTTGCTTGTTAAAATCCTTAGTGATCCAAAAATGGTTGAGAAATTAATTCACAATCCCGGACATGCAAGTGCTGCTGCCGATGGCAATTTGATAAGTGCACCTTCATCTGTTTCACCAGAAACAGTAGTTACTTCCTTACCCTGTTCAAAACCTGCTACAATTTCATCAACTCCGGCAGTAAGATATTCAAACAACGTAGAAAAAGAGTTCCGACCTGCGTTAAGTATGCCAGTTTCCAGGGCCAACATCGTTTCCAATTCTATGCCTACGAGAGTCGAGCCGTCATCGTTTCCCTTCCCCAGTACCGGTGCAACCATAAATATGAATTCAGGACATAGGGTAGCAAATGGTACTACCTCTTCTTACTCGAGAATGAACCAGGTACAATCCGCTCTTGGTATGATGCCGGTGCAGCCGGCCATTGTTTCAACAACAGCCATGCAAGCAATGGAAGCAAACACAGTGAAGGATGCTAACTATTATAAGAATCTGATAAGGGAACATGGGAGAGAAAAGGAAGAAGCTAAAGCATATAATATCTCACAAACTGGGAATCATTTAATTCATAGCCAGCAGAACATAGAACCTGGTGCATCAAACACCATGTTTCGGCATCATTGCATGTTTTATAACCGTTCAAAGGGGTTTAATCAGGGGTCCAATTACCCCTACTTGCATGATAACAAGTCATTACAGCGGCATACTGACAGAACGGTGGAAGATCCATGTGCTAAGAGAATGAAATTGAGTGGAGAAATTACTGGTAGGATCTAAGTAGGACGGATGCCTTTGTTTTCCAGGGAATTACCCCTTCCTTTCCTTTCAAAGCGTGTACATACTTTCTTTTCGGTTAGACTTCGAAGATAGATTAGTGTTTCCCCAAAAAAGATTTTTTTCTATAACGATCCATTTCCAAGTTATTAATTGATTAATTCGGATCATATACAGCATGTAGATACTAATTTTTGTCCTATTTTATTATTATTATTATTATTATTAAATAATAAATAATAATTTTATTACAAAATCCGAGGCCCATTTACAAGTGAAGACCCGGTCCAGACCCAGACGACCCAAACCCAACTAGGATTTCCCATGCCTCTCCAGCCGCCAGCTCCAGATGCATCCAACAAAAACCCTAGGGTTTCATTACAACCCTAGGGTCTATTCCGACCGCCGCCTTGGATCGAAGATAGGTCGCCGCCAGATGCTCCACCCAGCGGTTACCACGTCGCCACCGCCTCACCGTCGGATCCAGAAGATCTGGGTGCATTTAATGCACTCAGTCCCCCCTACGGTGAGTCAACACCATAGCTCCGGTGACTCACTGGGGTTCCCCTTTATAACCGGTCCAAGAGAGGCATCTCGAGGCCTATAAAAGGCCATTAATCAAACCTGGAAAAAAAAACACAAATAAAAAACGAAAAACAGAGAGAGAGAGCAAAACATAGCAGCCAACAGCAAAACCGAAAGGAAAAGAGGGGAGAGAAGACTTATCACGATCGTCGGAGCTTCCACGCACTGTCGGAGAATTGAAATATCGAAGGTAAAAAGCCTAGATCTACGAAGTGTGGTAGGGTTTTAGGCTAAGAGAAGCTTAAATTTGGGTTTAGAAAATAAGGGCTTCGATTTAGGTAAATTTTATAAATTCCGGTCTCCGTGAGCGGTGACTGGCGGCAACTATCGGCGTCGGAGGACAGTGACCGACTTTCCCTCCGACAAAGGGAAAGTTAGAGAGGGGTGTCTGTGTAATTTATTAATGGGCAAACCCCGTCCGCAGTCCTTCAAGTTTTGTAAATTGTCATTTTAGTCATTGAATTGAGTTTCTGGGTATTTTTAATTTCGTCTTTGCATTTTACTGTGTTTTTATTTTAGTCACTAACTAGTATATATATATATATATATATATAAGGTAAAATACCCTATTTAGCCCCTATCATTATAATAATTTTTTATTTTGATCCCGAAGTAGTTAATTATGGTTAAATTACATTGTTAATACCTAGATTTCATGATATTTCTAGTTATGTCCATTAAATTTGATATTTTACAATTGAATCCCTAAGTTTTAATATTACAATATTTTATTATAAGATTATTTACAATTGTAGTACCTAAAATACTAGGTATTTACTAAATAGTACATAGAATTTTGATATTTAATAGTTATTATATGTACTTGGGTATATTATTTTATAATATAGATCATAAAGTATCTCCTTAATTGATTAGGAAGATATCTTAAATGATTATTGGTACAAAATAATATCCCTTATGTTTGTTTAGGGGATCATAAATTAAATTCAAATTTGCAAATATTTACTATTAGAGACAATTTATAAAAGATGTGGTACTAATTTTGGGCGTTGTGGGTGCTAATCCTTCCCCAGACATAATCGACCCCGAATCTCTTTTTATTACTAAAAAGAATGAATTTATAGATACACGTAGATTGATTTATCTTTTAAATGATATTTTCTTAAAAACTCTTTTAAAAGGTGATTTTTAGGTATTCGACCTACCTAATCCAAAAGGTCGATGACGACTCCAAAACATTTCATTGAAAACCATTTATTCACCTGCTTTTCTGCCAAGAAATGTTGTGCCGGGGGAAAATCGGTTACGACACTGCAGATACGAGAGTAACCTGAAAAAGATATTAATCATGATTCAGAAGTGAGTATAAGAATAAGATACATAGCTATCTGAGTATAAGAATAAGGTATATTATCTCAATGAATGAACCTAATTTTAGATTTTAAAAGTGATATTATTGGAAAGGATAATTATGCACTTCAAATATTAATCACGTTTAAGAAATGGAAGATACTAATAAACGGAAAAAATGACCTAGAAAATTTTATATCTGTATCAATTCATGAAGGCGTCATGCATTTTTTCTTCACTTCTGTTGTTTTAGTTCTTTTGATCTCGATCGGGATCTAATGTTATCGTTTGTTCTAAATTGGTTCTTATCATTACTAATGTTCTTAAAAAAATAAGCTATACGAATAGACTCCTTTATTAGGTCATTAACACCTTAATAGAATTATTACATAGCAATGGAAAAATTAAGAAAATTCATGTAAAAATTTATAAAAATCCACGTTCCGTGTCTTCTAATTCTAAATATCACTTACTTATCCAAAAAAAAAAAAAAAATTCTAAATATCACTTGAGCTTTCTACCCTCTGTTTCTTTAGTCAAATATGGTAATTTGAGGTATTACCTGGTTGCTTCCTTTGTTTCTCTTTTTTCAAGCTATGCGGATAGGCTGCCCTCTTTATTTATCAAATAGTTTTCATTATAAACTTTTTATATAAGATTATATAAAATATTGATAACAAATTCTAACACGTATTATAAGATCGCATTTGTGTCAATTTATCGATTTAACATCTCTAAATGTTAGTTTAATTCAAATATTAAACGATTTATAATTGAAATTAGGCCTAAATGATAAGATTAACAAACAAGAAGACATTTTACAAAAAATATATCAATAATTATATATATACTTAATTAGACTCATAATCAATTCAACCCGAATTGACTTGATTTGAAAGTTGACCTAAACCGAAAATCAACTGATTCGATATTGACTCGACCTGATATTGACCCGACCCGAAATCTAACCAATATGGTATTGACCCGGCCTAAAAATAACCGATCCGATAATTACCCGATCCAAAAATTAACCTGACCCGATCCGATTTACCATACACACAAACTAAATCCGAACCAGATCAAATCCGACCAAAATAAAATTAAACTGAATATAATCTATATCCCAAATAACTGACCTAAAATGACCCGACCCAAATCCGATTGGAATCACCGTTTGCCACTGGGTGATCCCAACTTCAACAATGTTACGAAGGAAATATTGTGCCAAGATGGCTAAGATGATGTGTGGAGATTGTGAATAAAAAAGATGTCTACTTGATTGGGTTTAGTAATGAAAATGATTATTTAGACTGAAGAGGCTTAGAGACGAACATTTTAGTTTTGTAAACTGCATTTTTTTCCATTAAGGAAAATCAGAATTCAGTGGAGGAGGAGGAGGTCATGTCAACACTCGTAAGTCAGACAGTTAGGTGGATACAATCAAATGAAATTGAATTTGGATATGATAAATTATATAAATTTGTTAAAGGTCATGTCAATAAATTATAATTTTTTGAAATCTAGATCTTTGAGATCACTTTGTTTAGAGAAGTTCTCTTTATTCCTTTAAGAGTTTTCGAGAAATGTTAAATGTTTGAGATTTTTTTCTCTGAAGATACTATCTCAAAATTATAATAAGATAATGATATTATTGGAGAAGTTTAGACGAGAGTATCAAAATAAAGTGATGATGACTTAATTGGACATATAGAAAATATAATTTTTATTTGATTCATATTATAAGTGTTTTATTTATGTATTTGATTTTTAAAAATAAAGGAATTCTGATTGGAGGTGACATTCACAAACTCGACAATGATTAAGGGTGTGAATCTACAATGATTAAAGGTCAAATTTGAGATATTACAATTTAAGTGAAAAAGAAAGTGATGATTGGACCTTTATTCATTGACAAAATTAACCCAATATCATAGGCATATTAATTATTTTACCCAATACAACACAAAGCAAATTATTTAAGGATAAAAAGTTTTAAAATATATTTTTTATTCAAAATTTTTACTTACATCATTTAAATTTTTCATTCCGATAAGATAAATTCTATATAAAAAATATTTTATTGAAACTCGTCAAACTAACTCAATATCATAGGTGGGCTAATTATTTAACCCAATACAACACAAAGCAAATTATTTAAGGATTTATAGCATGATGACTTAATGAGTTTGAATAAAAAATATTATTTTGATAAATTCCTTACATCAATGTAACGAATTTACCTTGTACTATAATATTTATCGTATATTGCAAAATAAATTTTGAGTTTACCTATTGGGCCAATTAATTTTTCCTCCTGGTCTAATGGGCAAAAAAAAAAACGTTTTCAATTGAGGTTATGAAGGCTATCATAAACAATCGTGGTCGAAAAATAGCACACTTTTTGTCGAAAAATAGCACACTTTTTTATAAAGAATCGACATAAAACAAATTAAAAGTGATTAAGAAGAAAATATACTTGAATATGATCATAGCAATATAATCAAATGCCACCAGAGAAATCTGGAAAAAAAATTGGAAAATCAAAAGTAGTATTAATAATGTCAAATCAACGTTTTACAATTCTAGTTTCCACAAAGAAATAAAATATTGCTTATGATATCTCAAAGTAGTAACAGTTCATACTTCAAAACAGTTATATAAGCTGAGATATACGAGACTGCACAAGACAGTTCAACCGGGACAACTCGAAACAGTACAATTATCTGAAAATTCAACCAATTTCTAAAACAGAAATGTACTTCATATTCTTGAACGTAATTATAAAGCCCAAAACCCAAGTAATAAGCCTAAGCCTTATCAGCCTTGGCTGCAGTAGCAGCAGCTTGACCTCTGAGCCTACCGGTCCTTCTTGCAGCAATAAGACCAACCTTCTGTCCCGGAGGAGCATCGCGTCTAACTGTGCTAGCATGACCGATGTGTTGATGGTTACCACCACCATGGGGATGCTCGACTGGGTTCATAGCCACACCACGCACCTTAGGCCAGCAGTTCCTCTTCACCCTATATTTGTGGAAAGCATTACCAGCTTTGAGAAGAGGCTTCTCAGTCCTACCACCTCCAGCAACCTGCCCAATCATCGCACGACAACCACTCGGAACAATCTTCTTCGCACCTGATGGAAGCTTGATCCTGTATGACCATGCACCAAAACAACCAATTACTCCA